AACTTTTCAATGTTTAGCCTACTTAATAGGCCTAGGCCTGTGGTGTATCCAGGCAGAGTGTGGGGTAAGAGGCAGCTGCGCCCCAGCAGAAAAAAATCTGAGGTTTCCATCTAGCTACACATCTTAGTTTTCCACAATAAGGAAGGAAACACCCACAACACCCTCCCAACGGACTATACCTTGATGAGTACTGTAATCGAAAGGCGCTCGCACCCTATCAACCACCCCACCCCACCCCCACCCCCACGGAATTGTTAACAGAATTGTTCAAAACGAAGAGTAGGAACATACAATCGGGTAAAAATTCTTAATAGAAAAGAACGTTGGAAAAATTAATAAAAATAATTAAATTAAAAACAAATATAGGCCTATATAAAGAGTTCAGTGTGTGTCAACTACACGGATCATGACAAAATAGGGCCGCAGAACGGAAGGAGGGGGTGTCTCGAGTTGGATAAACAGCTATACAGTAGTATGATTCCATGGATTCCAATATTTTGTCAAGTATTTAATTTGTCAATTTGGCCTAAAGTTATAATCTTAAAGAACAAACATTAGAATGACGTCATCACATTCCAGAGGTTTTGTAACAATTATCTGTTAAGTTAGTGTTATCACCAGACATACAGATATTTATGAGATTAAAGGAATGATCAAATTAAATCATTATGGATCCGCACCGTCAGTCAAGGAGGTACTACTGTAACATCTCATTAGTTCGCCCAACGAAATACCCATGGTAGGCCTAGGCCTAATCTCGTGGTGTGCCACAGAGATATCACAAACTGTGCATGCGCATTAAGTTTATATTGCACTTTGACCGAAGTCGTGTCGTTAGGTAAAGTACTGATCGATCTAATTCGCAAAACAAGGCCTCATGGCAAGCAACTAGGCCTATACTTACAACAGCAGAATGTAGGCCTCTTATTAAAGGCTAAAGCGAATAATGCGCTTGAAAACACGAGAGAATCGACTGAATTTAGTAGACCCTTTAGTTAAAAGACGTAGTAGGCTTACTGTCTATGTTCAAATTAGTAACCTTTGAAAAATCAATTAAATATAATAGTAATATTGTAAAATCTGAATTTAAAAAACCCAGAAAATACAATTAATTACTCATTAATAATGATAATAATAATAATTGGCGACTTATAGCGCATATTGTAGAGACCTCTATGCGCTATAAATTTAAACAATAAATCGGAATACTTTTTACTATTTTTAGCATTTATTAAGTACTATCAACACTATCATTTTCATAATATATAATATTAGACCTATCTCGGTAGAATTAAATACAGTATTTGTATTTATCTCCACAAAACGCAATCTCTCATAGACAACGTATGAATAGGCAGTTGATACGAAAAACTTTCGGTACTAATGAAATTTTTATATAGGCCTAATATTCATACATAATTATCATTTTTATTATTATAATTGTGAGCGATCAAACCTCTTATGAAAGATAGAATATGATGAAAACAATTCCATTGGTCGTCACACCATAAACCTTGGCGACTAAAATACGAAATTATAGACTACAAACTCGCTTACTGGAGGTCTACGTCATTGGTGAACTTTGTGAACAATAGTAAAAAGCCGATGAGGGCGGACATCATAATACTGACGTGAACCCGATTCACGGTGATGAGAGATGACCAGGGGTATTTGACAAAAAAAGTCACTGTTATTCAATTATCCTAATTAAACGTTGTGGGTCTTTCTACTAATGTCCATTCAGTTTAACGAGTTAACTAGACTGCAAAGTTCTTGCGTTTCAGATACATTTCGGGAAATAAATATTTAGGATTTTTGCACAAATTAGCAAAAGCCGCAGGATTGAATCTTCGCCGAGACGAGAAATTTGCTAGGCCTAATAAGCGAACCAACATTCAAAATGCGGTTAAAGTTTAGTTTATATGAATGCGCAAAAATGCTTTAATCGTTCGTACATATTGATTTGCTCTATAAATCTTACTACAGGAACAGGTAAACTTAGCATTAGTTAGGTGACCTGTAAAATGTGATTTAATAATCTATACACGCGGGGACAAATTGTTAATCAATGGAAACACACACAAAGGATTGAAAAGACCACACATTATAATAATATCCGCTACGTTCATAGTCAACGATGCCTATAATGATTGTAAGAACTAAAAAACCTCCCTTTAAAAAAGAGTTGATTTATAGCCAATAATGGGTGATTGAAAGTGTGTGTGTCTATGATGAACGCCAACCGAAAAACATAAGCCTATCGATAACTTCGCCCTTGCCTGATTGGAACGTAACACCACAATACATTTAATTAACTTAAAAAATTTACAGTACAAAGTTAAGTTATCATAGCTTAGTCTAATTAAATTACTGTATAAGGCCTACACTTTTTAATTCATCTTATTGTAGGGCCTTCCTTTAACCGTATTTTAAATGTAAAAATGTACTCCGTTATTATAAAAGCTAAAAATGGAAATTGCATTAAAGCATATTCAAATATAAACCTATTTTCGTTTAGATAATCATAACCTTAAGGACTCAAATTCAATATTTGAATTGCTTATGTAAAGGCCAGTATTTTAGGTAAAGCTTTAAAAATATTGGATGAAAAACAAAAACATCATTTTCCTCACTGCGACAGACGTATTTGTAAATCGCGAAAATCAAATTAATTCGAACTGTCTCATTCGACGTTAATAACTTTTTTAATCTCTTATATGAGTAATTCATTTTGTTTTAATTTTATTTTGAGGGTTTACCACGGACACTGTGTCTTTTAAGATTACTTTTAGTACGGCAGCTTAGGGCCATATTTGGACTTAATGTGGACGTTCCGGACAAAAGCACCAATATTTTTTTACATGCTCCTTATGGTCATAGCATTCAATTTTTGGTAGGAACCACCTCATCCGAGGTCATTATGGCGGCCATCTTGGATTTCAAAATGGTAGCCTTATAAAACCTATTTTTATCTATATCTCCGCTTCTAAATCACTTTGAATTATAATT